CGAGCGGTGCTCGGGCGCCGGCCACGCAGGCAGGTACCGCTGGTCCCCTGCACCGAAGGGGAGGATGGGGGTGGCAGGACCCCGAAGATGGGATCCGCTGGGCTGGAGAGTATCAGGGAGATGTGGACACCCGCGTTTGCCCCGTCGGATTTAATTTTTAATAACTTCTCCTGATCTTCATCGTACCGTACTGAGTGCTGCCTCCCGGGGGTCAGAGGCCACCCCTAGCCGGACTGTCACATCCACATTGGAAGATAATTAGCAATAATGAACTTTGAGGCAATGGTAACTGGAATACCCAGGCTCCACATGGGACACTTTATGCAATCAGGTTCCTCAACCATCAGTCTCCTCCTGGTCAGCTTCTCTTCCAGCACCTCCATACCTGTTATCTACAGCAAACCTACGTGTACAGTATATATAGACCTTGTACGGCGTAACAGTAGTGAGTGGCTATCGGAGTGGCAACACCCACTGGTTTCAATGTACCCTTTAATCTTATTTATTTGCTTCTAATTTATATATATATATAAAAAAATATATATAAAATTATTTTGCTTAAATTTCTATGGTACACAATAGATGAAAAATAACGAAGACAGAAGTGTCTGAGTTTTTGTAGCACGAGCACCATTTCCCTAAGGCTTGTCCTGGAGGTAGGGTGTAGGGGTGATGGTGACGGAGTAATTCCCAAAGTAGAGAAGCAACATTTTGCTCCAAAGCCAGATGCGATGGCATTCAGAAGGTGTTACAAAGATATTCCCTTCTAGGAACGATGCAGTTGGGGTTTGAAGGGCGGTGCTCGGTGTCCCCCGCATTCGGGAGTGTGATGCTCCAAACCTGGCTCGCTGGGTGTTACAGCAGCCGGTCTGGCGTCTTCGCTCCTTCCAGACCCTTCCTGGAGGTTTGCCTGTGGCTCGGTACAGCCGGTGCAGCTCTTAAATGATCCCAGCTCCTGCGTTCGCCGTGGGATGCAGCCTGCGGAGAGCTGCTGGGTGTCCCAGCCCCAGGGCGTGCAGATCTCCTTTGGGCTTTCACCTGTCTGGGAGAGCGGAGGATGCTCCGCACTAAACCTTCATGCCGCGGGCTTGGTTTGTGACGGCAACCGAAGTTGCCTGGGGGAGCTTTGTTCCACTCCAGGCCTGAATTGGTTCTGTTAAATGGGCTACAAATTGACCTCTTCAAAATGCCTTGATTGCTTTGTCAATGCAGGTGTTGCCCGAGAGCTTGGAGAGGTGAGAAACTTTGCACGGGCTGTCCCCAAACAGGGATTCGAGTGTTCCCGCGGCGGAGGGGAGCGGGGAGGTCAGTGAGTGCTGGCACCAAGGGTCCTGCTGGGCTCTGGGACCCCGAAACGTCCTCTCTGATGTACCCCCCATCGCTGCATCTGTCTAGAAATCACCATCACGGACCCTGCACAGCTTAGCGGAGCTCAGGGGAGTGTGAGGAGCACCCCCCAAAACAGAAATCCCCCATTTTTTAGGCTAATTTTAAAAATTGCTGTATCTTCCAGAGATCATCTAGCGGCAACACTTAATCAGAGCACCATCTCCTGGTCTTTCTGTCTGCCCCCGCAGAGGATTTTAATGTCATTCCACTGTAAATGCTGTTGAATGTATTTCTTTTTGAACAATATATTGTGAGTGATCCCTCTTCTACACGGTAATAAAACTTGGATTCGGGAGTTTTAAAAGCCGCAGTGCTGAGGTTGTCACTCGCTCCTCAAAGCTGCAGGTGGGAGTCCCGGAGGAACCCCAAGGTGGGTGAGCTCTGGGCATGCACGGGGGCCCGGGCACGCGGTGGATGGCAGGTGAGGTGGCCAGGGAAGGGACCACAAGAGGTGGCCCAGAGGAGAAGGAGACCTAGGAGAGGAGATGGGGAGATGGCCTAGGGAAGCAGGAGGTTGCCCAGGGGAGGAAGACTATGGGAGGTGGCCCAGAGGACAAGGAGGTCCAGGGAAGGAGTTGTTCAGGGAAGGAGGAGGGTCATGGAGGATGTTGCCCAGAGGAGGAGATGGTCCAAGGAGGCTGGCTCAGGGGAGAGGAGGGGCAGGGGAGGAGATGGCCCAGCAGAGGTTCTCCAAGGCAGGAGATGTCCAAGGGAGGTTGCCCAGGGGAAGAGGTCCAGGAAAGCAAGAACATGAGAGGTGGCTCAGGGGGAGGGACCCCCGG